CACTGAGCTTCCACAATTTTACCTCCTGATTGTAATCTCGCCATTTCGCTGGATCTCCATTCCAGCTTGGTATCACTGACTGGTTGTGTGTGAACTCCGTCATCTTGACACCGTCGTAGGTGACGCATGTGGCGTCGCTGACACCGTCGTAGGAGAGGTATATGGCGTCGCTGACACCGTTGTAGGAGAAGTATATGGCGTCGCTGACACCGTCGTAGGAGAAGTATATGGCGTCGCTGACACCGTTGTAGGAGAAGTGTATGGCGTCGCTGACACCGTCGTAGTAGGAGAGGTATGTGGCGTCGCTGACACCGTCGTAGGAGAAGTAGCTGTTGTCGCTGCTGAGGGTGGGAAGGAAGATGGAGTCGCTGGCGTCGCTGACGCTGGCGTTGGAGCTGGCAGGGTTGTAGGCGTAGTAGGCGTAGTCGCTGGCGTCGCTGACGCTGGCGTTGGTGCTGGCGTCGCTGACGCTGGCGTTGATGCTGGCGTCGCTGACGCTGGCGTTGATGCTGGCGCTGAGCAACAGCGCGAGGAGACCGCTGGGCCTCGATTCCAGTATGGAGTGCGACGTCGCAGACGTCGTCTTGGGTATGCGGCCCCGCGGGCCGGGATAGCGAGCCTCGCTCCGAGCTACCACTGTGATATGGATATCGCTGATATCTTTTGTCGAGGAATCGCGCGGCGAAACTCTCTGCGTAGCTCTAAGGCCAAGGGCCCTAGTTCGAAACAAAACGGCAGCGGCACGAGCGGGCGTGAGGGATAGAGCGGGGATGCAGGAAGGGCACGGGGAGTGAGCGGGAATCACAGCAGGCAGCACAGAGTGCGCGCCCGGAGGATGCCCAGGCAGCCTGGGGTTCTCTGACGGACGACGAGGCTCGGGATCCTCCTAGCGGCCGTGTGCCCTCCCTGGAGCTCCAGGAGGCCCTCGAGGGTGCAGGGCGCATCCACCGCCGTTCGCGGAGCCCTGGGCGCAGGGACCCTGCCGTGGCTGATGTCAGAAGTGGCAAGGCCAATCCGTTCGCCTGTGCCCAAAACGCTTCGTGTACTCAGGGGTTCCAGCTCTGTGGATGCCATGGCAATGGGCACTCGAACAGTCCTACCATTGAGTTATAGATGTGTTTTGACATGTGTAAATCATGTTCTAAAAAACCGCTTGATCATGTAAACATCAGTTGTACACAAACAAAAAAAACATACTTGAAACACCTGTTCGACATCTGGAAATGATTTGGCAGCATGCTTCTCGGCGGTGGACAAACCTCCCTTTAATAAACCTCCCCTTAATGAAAACGGCCTGGAGCCGAAACCCGCGGACCCAGACCCGCAAAAATGACGGCCGCGACGCCCCCTCGCGAACCGACAACGGCCCATTCACCAATCGACGTGTCAGGGTAGGAGGTCTGCCCACCCCCGAGCTTCCTCTCCCTTCACCGACTTCCACACGTGTGCTGCGGGGCGCCGGCTTTGCAGGAAGAGCGCTGCGGCCCCGGGCTTTTAGCCGGTGCGCGCCCGTGGCCGCCCCGCGCGCCGGCCCGCGGCTCTGGTCTTCGGCGGGGGGGCGCGGGCGGCCGCCCCAGGCGGCCGCCTCGAGCGCTGGCTGCACGTGGCCCGCACGGGCTGCAGGACATATTTTGGTTCTGATCCGCGGGTCGAGAGCGCACCTCTTCCGGTCGAGGCTGAGCGGGCCGCGCGAAGCCTGAATGAAGCAGAGATGGGGGAGGAAGAGGGGGGCGCAGCCTCAGAACGAGGCCGCTGCAAGACATGCAGCCAGCCCGCATGGTAAGGATGTGCGATGAGGATGCAAGGGCCTTGGGCGCCCGTCTCGAAGCTTTTTCGGGGGGGGGGGCGCGGCCAACAAAAGTGACGAAGGATGGACCGAGGAGGCAAGGATGCAAGGGTACCCTTTCGAGGGTTACCCATCCTTACTCTGCGGGTTGACTGTAGGTTGCATTGTCTGATACGTGTTTCCTGAACAGTGCTTGCACACACGGATGATTACCAGCCTGTTCGCACCTGGCTCGCATGCGCAAGATGTTCCCCAAGGACCGCCCGCAGGCGCCTCGTGGCCGCCCCGTGTTGGCCGGAAGTTCCCCATCGCACAACCTTCAATTCCAATTACTTGCATTTCGCGTTGGTGCATGCTGTTGGGTGCAACGCATGCGATGCACGCGGAAGGTTGCAATGCATTATGTGCAATATATCTGGTGCAAACTACGTGGTGCAAGCCTATCTGTAGTGCAACACGCGTGGTGTCGCCTACTACAGGCTCGTAGTGCAGTCTACGTTATGGCGTGCAAGCTACGAGGTGCAGTCGACGTGTCGCAGTTGAATTTATGCCAACTCGTCAATTGTCAACTCCACTGCTCGCGCGATCATCTCACCCTCCCACCCGCAACTTGGTTTGCAAAATCCATGCGACGGCGACTACGATGGCTGCTTGGTCACATCTCTGCGGTCGCGCTGGTGCGCGCAAGCTCACGCCCAGAGCGGCGCGCGCAAAGCGACCAGTTTGTTCAGCGCAGCCGATGCGGGCGCGATGTCGCTTACCGGTGGCAACTCCCAAGCGCGGGTCAGAAGCTGCGTTGGCGCGCGGACATTTTAATGCGGGTCGGTGGCCTGGGCGTGCGCGTTATCGTGATAACGTCGACAACGGTGACAACGATGATGATGGTAGCGATGGTGGTGGCGGTGATGACGATGGGTGAGGTTGGTGCAATCATGTGATATCACATAGTTTTCTCAAGATTTCGTCAAATGCCCTCGGACAGAGAATTTGTATGATCTGTAATGAACACGTATCGGCGTTCGATGTTGTTACGCTCAATTCCTTGCATCACTGGTGTGTGCTGGTATGATCTTGACATGTGCGCGCGCGTGTGGAATCTGTGCGATTTATTCGGGTAGGGACTACCGAAAAAAGATCCCTTGCCATAAATGATCAGGGGGACGTAAGACCTGGGTCTAGGGGACTCGAAAATCCCCGACGAGGTCGTCAAAAAAATGACGAGGCCGAGCCTGCATTTTGACGAGGCCTCCCGGCTGCAGACATCCCACGAAACTCCTCCTCGTCAAAATCCGCGGCGCAGTCGTCAAAAAACGATGGCGAACCCGAGTCCTGGCAAACCCGGGTCTTACGCTTCCCCGAAATGAGTGCGCGCGCAGAGTACGAAGTACGATCTGACAGGGATCAGGGGAAGCGGGGGGGGGGGCGGGGCGACGCCCGCCGTGCCTGTGATGGTGGCAATCCTTATGGGAACGGAGCAGCGAGATATCATCACGTGTACTTTGCTGTATCCCAGGGGGTACCCATACGTCCAGAAGGGGGGGGGGGGAGTGAGAAGGAGAAGGCCTTCTCAGAAGGCGGCGGGACTTCTCAGAAGCCCTCGCGCCTTCTGAGAAGTTTTTTCTGTCTTCGGGGAAGGCTTGGAAAACTTCTCAGCGGGCTGGGGGACTTCCGAGCCCTCTGAGAAGACCCGCCCCTTCTCACTTCCCCCCCTCGCTCGCCGCCGACAGAAGGGGGGGGAGGGTGGTAGAGTTTATGTTTCCTTCAAATGGGGAATTCATCATACCTGAGCCGCGCGTGACCACCTCCCATGATCGAGGAAACGTCCCACCCACCCACCCGCAACCTATTCGCGCAGCTCACGCAGACCGGGGGTGTTGATACCCATCGGAGTTGTCTCGCGGCTCTCGAGTGGCGCAATGACGCGTGGACCTTGCTCATGCAGATCCATGGCCTGGGTGTACGGATGATGATGATGACGACGATGATGATGATGATGATGATGATGGTGATGATGATGGTGACGGCGACGACGCCCGCAACAACAACGACGATGATGATGATGTTGATGATGCTGATGATGGTTTTGATGATGATGGTGATGAAAAGCAAATTGCAAGTGTTTGAGACTCTTACCTGCAATCATACATATGCATCGCAAGTCGTACGGGCACAGCTGTAGAACAACTGACCTGGATACGTTGCACCCGACATGTCGCACATGTGTTTTACACGCGCCATCCAGTTTGCGTCGCTGCCACAGGTGAACGACACCTACAAGCATGAACATACAGTATACTACACACCCTAAGTAGACCCCATAGTTTGCAGCACGTAGGTCAAACCAAACGTATTGAACCAGACACAGAGATCGCACCGCATCGGCCGAGAGTGCTTGAACGTGCTGCTTGAGGTCTGAACTGGCCTATGTATTTCAGGGGCTCGTTCCGCTGCCTGGCTCTTCACACGACTCTGGACACCGCCCCTTCTCGGGCCACATGGTCTGCCCACGGGCTTCTCCACGCATCCCCTTCCTGCTTCCTTTCCTTGACGCGGGGCCAGCATGTCGAGCCGCTGGGCGCACGCCGGCAGGCAGGCGAGCACATGGAAATAACAGATTTTCTGAAGAAAAAAAAAACTTCGTGGCTCTGCCAGCGACTCACCCTCCGCATTCCCCACGCCCACGCCCTTACCGTCCCCCTCCCCTCCCCATTCGGAATGGGCCATTCCCCTGCCCCGCTCGAGTGTACTCCCGCCCTCCCCACTTGTCCGATCGCGTCCCGCCCCTTCCTCCCTGCTCCGCTACCTGTCCAGCCCTCTCCCGTCCTGCCTGCCCGCGAATTCTGCATCCCTCCCCTCTTCTTCCCTTCCCTCCTTCCCTCCCTTGGTCCCCCCTCCCCTTCCCTCCCCTCCCCTCCCTTTCCTCTCGCATTCCCTCCCCTTGCCTCCCCCTCCCCGCCTTCCCCACCCACCGCTCTCTCTCTCTCTCTCTCCCTCTCTCTCTCCCTCTCTCTCTCCCTCTCTCTCCCTCTCTCTCTCTCTATCTCCTGTCACTCTCTCATTCTCTCTCGTTCTCTCTCATTCTCTCTCTGTCTCTCTCTCTCTCACTCTTTCCCCCCTCATCGCCTCGCCCCCCCCTCCCCCTGAAGGGGCCAGGGGGTCAGAGGAGGGGAACGGGGCGGCGGCGCGGGTGCTGGCCCTCGCCCCTGGCGGGCTCCTGGAGGGACCGCAGCTGCCGCCCGTGGGCGCCAGGTGGATCCTCGGAGGGCCGCCCGGGGCCACGGGGACAAAAGAGGACGAACGGACAGCACACACCCCCTCGAGTTATGAAAAGTTCACGACGGGAGGTGTTTCATTCTTTTTGGCCTTTGGGGGCCCTTACCGGCCCTCGGGACCGTCAAAAAACGACTCAGGACGAAAAACCGGTCCCGGGGAATGGGTCGAGACCTCGGGGGGTCGCTTTGTGTGACGAACGGACAACACACACACCCATACCCATAGGGAGGTCGGAGGGAGAAGGACTGGCTCCTCCAGATTTCGTAATAAAGGGAGGAGGGTCTCGTTTCGGGGGGGGTCTCTTCCAGGCTATCTTGGAGGGCCTGGGGGGGTCTGGGGACGATGTTTTGGAGGAGTCCTCCCACGGGGGAGGTCTGAAATGGCTTGTCTTGGAGGGTCCAGAACCCCTCCCTTTTATTACGAAATCTGGAGTATGGGTATGGGTGCGGGTTGTCGGACCCTGAGGAGGCTCTCGTTCGAGCGGGGACCCCTATCCGACAACACGCACCCATAGCTCATTCCGTCTCCCCTATGGGTATGGGTGCGTGTTGATCGTTCGTCAAGAGAGCTGACATGAAGAAGACGAGAGCTGACAGAAACGGGTCCTGTGGACCGTGGGGGCCTTTGTTGCTGGTCCAGAGGTGCTGTTCGACGCTCCTGGGGCCGGGGGAAGGCCCTTAAAACCCGAAGCCCGCCCAAGAAAACCTGAGGACCCGTTCCCCTCAGGACGCGTCTGCTCCGTGGCGGGTGAGGAGGAGGAGGGGGAGGAGCAGGAGGAGGAGGTGGAGGAGAAGGAGGAGGAGAACATTCTTTCTCTGGGGAGGGGGGCCAGGCAATTGGGAAGACACTCGAGTGGCCAACTTAGATCCTCGGTTTCGCCACCAAGCCATTCCAAATCAAACCATGCACCCGCCCTAATTTGTTCTGGCCATCTGGCGTTCGGTCAGTCTGCTGTGGGCCAGTCGTGGGGTTCCCCCAAAAGCCCCAATGAGGGGGGGCCTCCCAGCCCTGCAAAAGCAGCGGAGGGAGAGGAGGATGGGGAGGAGGCGGAGGCGGAGGAGAACTACCGTGAGATGGAGTGGAGGATCCAGCACACTCAGGATGGATAACACAGCAATGACCACGCGTGCACAGGCCCTTGCGCGATGGAGCGTGCGGCCACGGGGGGGGGGGGGGGCGGCTCGGCGGCGCGCTCTGCCGTGCCGTGAGAACGGGGTCAGGGCGGCGGTGCGTGGCCGCGCGTTGGGGGCGCGAGGCGCGTGCTTCGCGTGAGAGAGGGGCTCCGGGGTCTGCCGAGGGAGCGCGCAGGGGCTGGAGGAGCAGGGCTGGGGGAGGCTGGGCCGGGGAATGTGCTAGGGGAGGATGGAGGCTGGGGTGAGTGGAGATGGGGAGGGGGCCGGTGCCGCGCCCCGCTGGATAGTTGCAGAGAGCGCGCCGTGCACTGGAAGGGTCATCGGGCAACGCGCGCCCCGATCGCCAAGCATCATGTCCTTTTGTTTGTTGTCTTTGTTTCCCCGCTGCCACGCTTGCTTCCGTTCGCGCCCCGCTGCGTCCGCAGCGGGCCGCTGCGTACCCACAGAGGAACAGAAAACGGCCTACATCCCGCAGCGGCCTCGGCTCCGAGCGCAGGCGCGGCCGACGGCGTCCCCGCGGCGCTCCGCAACTCGGGAGAGTCGCGGGCGCCGCCGCGCGCCCGAGGCTCCGTCTAGGACTGCGGCTCGCCCGACGCGAGGACTTCGGCCACGGTCCCGTCGCCCGCCACCCGCACAAAGGGCTCCGCCTAGGACTGCGGCTCGCCCGACGCGAGGACTTCGGCCACGGTCCCGTCGCCCGCCACCCGCACGAAGAAGGCTCTCACCAGCGGCTCGCCCGTCCGGAACTCCAGCACCCTCTCGTGCTCGGACAGCCACCGCTGCAGGGCCCGCATCGCCGGCGCGGCGTCCCAGCTGGGCAGCTCCATGGCGTCGAAGTCGAAGGCGCGCAGCAGGCCGGCGTGGACGGTCGTCTCGCCCAGGCAGCAGTCCCAGGCGTCGTAGACCGCCGGGAGCTCAAAAGACATGTCTCCGGATCGGACCCCCCTCTGGACCACGCGGCGCCCTACAGGGTCACGGAGCAGCCCGGCCTCGGTCGCCATCACCATCCTGGTGTCGCCGTCGACGAAGCGGCGGAAGAGCACGTCCCACTGCCGGCCCGAGTACGGAAACAATGCGAACGGCGTACTCGGCCAGTTTTCCGGTATGAGGCGACATCCTCTGACGATGACACAACACGCGCTGACGCCGCACAGGGTCACGGCAAACCTCCATCCAGGCGATCCGACTGGGCAAGCGCAGCAGAACCCGAGGACGTAGGACGCCAAATTCGGAGTAAAGAATATCCCGATGATGGCCGACTGCAGCACGAATATTCCCATATGGAGCAAGAACATGGTGACAGCAACAGTAATACGATAGGACTGCGGTGCCACCAGCGCTGCTGGAACGAGAACGGTTTCGAACAGCAAGGTGAAGTCGCCTAGCAAAGACAGCACCACCTTCTGACTACCTACCAGACCACCCCAACCCAACCCGAAGACCCGAATTTCGGGTTGTGGAGGGGGGGTAAGGGTTCTGCACGTGTTTTGTCTCGATGTTTCCCGCCCCCCCCCCCACTGGAAATCGAGGGTAAATCAGAGCCTTCGGGTTGGGTTGGGGTGGTTTGGTGGGTGGTGACCTTCTGCCCGCACGCCCAGCGAGCGAGCCGGAGCGAGAACGGGCCGCCGCCGGCAAGCGGCAGCCTGCTGTACGTCAGCAGCACGCTCCGCAGCGTCCCGGGCTCGAGCCAGCCCCTGCCCCCGACGAGCAGCTTCGCGAGGCCGCTGGAGGCGATGAAGTGGACGCACACCCCCAGGGCCGCGCCCTGCGCGAGGTCGTCCCGCAGGAGCGCCAGGGCCCACGTGTTGTAGACCATGGGGAAGTCCCGGTGGCTCGCCGTGGCGGCGGACTCGACCAGCGCATAGAGCGACGCCGACGTGGCGCTGGCCACGCGAAGCGCCCTGCTGGCTGGAAACCTGGCAGTGCAGAACAGCAGCGGTATCAGCGCGTAGGCCGCGGGCAGATACACGTACGTCCGGCATAGCGGCATGAGCCGCTTCGGCATCCAACTGGGACGGGTCGTCACAGCAAATCTGAAGGCGCTCCTGAAGAAATCCTCGCCCGTGGAGCACCTCACGATCAGCCAAAGTGTCGCAAGACAAGCCGCCTGTGTAAAATAGAACAACGGCGCGACACCAACATCTGCGACATGCTCTGGCCACAGGTTCACTGCCATCCAGGCAGGGCCCACCCAAGCGGACGCTGCTTCTGGGCCGCCGATCCACCGCGTACAGAAACACGCTCTTGCTGGCGCATGATTTGTGTGCTCTTGAGCCCAAATGGCTACGGAATCGAAAACACACACATCCTGGAGACCACAGATTTGTACCCATCCCACCCACCTATCGGAGCCAGGTAACGGGCACTGATATGCACTCACAAACGCAAGGCTGCAAGGCGGTCATGTCTCAAGAGAGCCAACGCGATTAAGAAGCTGCTGCACGCCAAGTGGCTCAACGCAAGCCGCGGCGACTGACTACAACTTAGGGGACCCAGTTTCCCAGGACAGACCCTCGCGTCGCGTGCTCGGGGAACCCCACAGCTGCCGCAATAAGCCAGTCCCCGGGCACGGGCGAGACGCCCGCTGCGTCAGAACCTGCAAAAGGCAGATTTGACATGCGCAGGGCATCTGCACAAACAAGCAGCACAAAATGAACCTCCAGGGATTTCCTGAAAACTAGCCCGATGTCAGAATCATGGACATAAGAGCGCACCGCTTGCACGCGGTTGCCATGCACCAGCGAGCCTACAAAAGCACGCAGAACTTTCAAGCGCGAACTACGGTCAAAATTGTGACAGCTCCCACCAGCGCGCACTCGTGAGCGCCAACGCTTTTCATCATGATGGCCGGAAAACTCTCAACATGCACTTGTTTCATCGGGTCGGCAAGCCCACGATGTACTAGCGGAAGTTCTGCGTGTGCCCCCGAAACAACGTAGCCCGAATACATTGAGCTTGAGACATAATCGTTTATTGTCAGATTCTTACCGCCTGGTGATGATAAGGAAAGGTGGAAGAAGAATGCGGAGGAGGAGGAAGAAGAGGAGGATGAAAAACACAAAGAGTAGGATGAGGACGAATTGGAAGAGGAGGACGTCGCATAGGGGGATAATGGTGAAGAGTGGCACCGGGAGTGGTGAAGGATGAGGAGGAGGGGGGCTTTAGTAGCAGCAGTAGTTGCAGTAGCTGGAGTGGCAGCAGTAGTACGAGCAGAATCAGGAAGGGAGCAGAGCAGAAAGCAAAATCTCGCCCCCCCTACGGTTTACCTGCCCTCGTCCTCATATTGGCCTTGTCCATCCCGCCGGGAGAACCGAGGTCGAATGTGGTGTGGTAGGCGCTGAAGAAAGGCATGCCTCGACGAGGGGAAGGGGAAGGGAACTCACTGAATGTCTCGCTTTATGGCACTGCGTCAACGCATCCATGTTCAGCATGAGATCCTGTAGACAGGACGACTGGTATGTCGTCACGTGTTTCTGGTGGCCCCAAGGAATCTAGAGGCCCTGACCAAGGAAGAACGCCGGCTGTGGGGATGGAAGGGGACAGAACGCAGAGCTTGAAAGAGAGGGAATGCCACGCCGACAAAGCACGCACATGATAACATGTGCAAGTGTGCCGCCCACACGGTCCCCCCCCCACTCCTCCTCCTCCTCCTCCTCCTCCTCCTCCTCCTCCTCCTCCTCCACCTGCTCCCCCTGCTCCTCCTCCTCCTCCTCCTCCTCCACCTGCTCCCCCTGCTCCCCCGTCTCTCCACCCAAAATCCTCCATCCCTCCCGCCTCTTCTTTCCCCCGCCCTCCCCCCCTCCTCCAA